GTAGGTTTAAGGATGCTGTTTCAGAATCTGAGTGGGATGACAGGATGGCGGTATCGTCAGTGAAGGTTGCTAGAAGGGTATCGGGGTTGGTTGGAATGTCAGCGGTGAAGAGGATGAAGACAACTGGGCCCAAGACACTGCCTTGTGGAACACCAGCTTCAATTGGATAATAGTTGGAGAATTCAGTGCCGCAGCGGACTTGAAAGGAACGATTTGAGAGGTAGGATTTGAGGACTAGGTACAAGGATTGGGGTAAGTGAGTTTTGAGCTTGAAAAGCAAGCCATCATGCAACACCTGGTCGAAAGCTTGCGCTACGTCCAGAAAGGCACTGGTGCAATATTGCTTGTTTTCAAGCTCAGAGGATATATGATCAACAACGCGAAGGCCTTGTTGAACAGTGGAATGTCTTGAGCGGAATCCAAACTGATGGGATGGGATATTGTGGGTTTCGAGTATGGGTAGGATGCGTTTGAGAAGGATTTTTTCAAAGATTTTGGAGAGGATTGGGAGCAAGCTTATTGGTCTATAGGATGAGGTATTATTGACAGATTTACCTGGTTTTGGGAAGAGGATGATTATGGAGTGTTTCCATGTCAGAGGAAAGTGAGTTGTGCGGAGAATACAGTTGTATAGGTATGTGAGGAATATAATTGCTTTTTTGGGAAGTTGTCTAAGGATCTGGGAAGTAAGGAGACCGTGTCCAGGTGATTTTTGTGGTTTTAGGTTGCTTATAAGAAATTTGACCTCAGAGGGGTTGACAGCTATAGGAGGCAAGGAGAGAGGAATAGGAGAAGAAAGGAATTTTTTAACTTCAACAGTGAGGGTGGAATGGAGTTTGGGGTGGGGAGTAAATGTTTTGGATAGGTGTTTGGCAAATTCTTCAGCTCTAGTCTCATCTGACGAAGCCCAGGTTCCATCATCGCATCGGAGGGGATGGGAAACAGAATGGTATTTAAGTATTTTTCTGGTCAACTTCCAGAGGGAATTGTCATCGGTAGATAGGGAAGAGAGGTAGGAATTATATGATTGGGATCTAAAGGAAGCTAGTTCTTTTCTTACCTGTTTGGTATAATAATTGTACAGTTTCCGATCATCAGGATGCCTGGTTCTTTGCCAGATGGTCCTAGATTGGCGTTTGGATTTAATGAGGTCGGTAAGGATTTGAGGCAGAGGAATCTTTTTAAGGTATTTTTTGGAGGGGATTGGTGAGGATGCAGTCCAGACTGCTTGTTGGATCAAGGTGGTAAAGGAACTCACTGCATTATCTAGGTCTTGAGGGGTTTTTAGGGATACTCTGAGGTCTATTGCATCTGTTATTGTTTGGCGGAAAAGGTTCCAGTTGACTGGGCCTCTGATGAATGAGAGAGGAGATAACCTGGGGATAGGAGATGCGGAAAGGGTTAGATTTAGCGGACTGCGATCTGAGGAAAGGTCATCAAGCCGTAGAATTGAGTAATTTAGCGGCCCGAGACATTTGTGAATGAAGAAGTCGAGGATATCAGGATTACGGTTAGGATCGGTTGGCCAGTATGTAGGAGTATCAGGGGGAAGTATGTTGGAATTGTGGGAATTAAGTGCAGACAGCAACGATCGCCCGTGGGAATTCGTGGTTCTGGCTCCCCATTGCTGATGTTTGGCGTTAAGGAAGGCACCTATAAGGAAGTCGTGTCCTAGGGAATTAAGAAAGGAAATGAAGTTAGGTTCAGGTATTGCTATTTTAGGTGGAGAGTATGCTGCGACAACTGTAAGAGGAAAAAGTGAAGTTTGGATAGTTATTGCTGAGGTTTGTAGGAAATTGTGAACTGGTAAAGGATACAAGTGATGGGAGAGGGACTGATGGATAATGACAGCAGTGCCAGCATGTGCTGTTCCATCAGGGTGGTCAGTTCGATATATCTTGTAGCCAGGTATGTTGAACTGTCTTTTATTTGTTAGTCGGGTCTCAGTTATTAGGCCTATGTCTATATTATTGTCCTGTAGAAAAAAGGTTAGTTCGTTGATGTGATTTCGAACACCATTCGCATTCCAAAGGAGAATGGAGAGGGGTTTAATTGAGGACATTTAAGGAATTCTTGGCGAAGGGATAAGATTGGCTATGACATTTGTAAGTAAGGTAATGAGCGGTGTGATGAGGGATTTGACTTCGGAGAGGAATGATGTAAGGAGGCTGGTAAGGTCATTGGAATTGTTAGGGGGAGGAATGTAGGATATTTGTTGAGGACTGAACTTTTGGGTGTTATTATGTTCGGGTGGTGAACCATGAGGTAGCGGTTGAGTTTGCGGCAGGGCCTGGGGTTGAGTATGCTGTTCTAATTCTCTTAACATTTGAGCATAGGAGGCTTCTTTGTTTGCAAATCTTGAGGGTTGCCTTGGTGGTCTGGGAGTCCTGGAAGTCTCTTCATGTCTAGGCACTGTCTGTAATCTTGATTTTAAGATTTTATATGTCTGGCATCCTTTGTAATTTTCTGGGTGATCTTTATGGCATAATGCGCACACAGCAGGAGTTTGCCTGGACTTATTGTAATCTTCCGACTTATGTTGCTGCCCGCACTTCACGCAACGCGGTAAGCGGTGGCAATAGCTTTTAGTATGGCCATATGATTGGCAATTATGACATTGTACTATTTCTCGTTTTGCATACGGTTTTTCGACAACTATGCTAGTATAGTACAGGCGTCTTAATTTATAGATGTTTTCGACTCCACTGGTGCGCTCAAGGTCTACGAAAAATAGTGGTAAGGCTATTTTGTTGTTTGCACCTTGTTGCTCTTTATTATCTCTAGATACATTGACAATTTGGCGGACACTGAAACCAAGTTCTGTCAATTCTTCTTTGATTGCCTCAGGTGGAGTTGTTGGATGAAGGCCTCTTATCACCACTCTTAGTGCTCTCTCTTGAAATAATTGATAAGTATGGAATTCCGCCTTTGTATCTGTCAAGTATTTTACTATTTTTCTATATGATTCAGGAAAAAAACTTGGTGTCATTGGTTCGACCTTGACATGTGTATTTAGCATTATTAAGTAATTTATTTAAATGCTGGCAAAATAGCGGAAAATTTTTTATGTTTCTTATGAATATTGGAGGTGTTTTTGGCTCTCTGGGGGTTGATGGTATTTCCATTATTTCTTCTACGGTATTCAATAGTAGTTGGTAAGGGTTAACAGTAAAAAAAGGTGATTCTTCAATTTCATTGTTTGTTTCGGTGGTCATAATTTCAGTTGATGTACCGGCTTGAGGATCATCATTTGGTCTATCAGGTGTAGATGGTGGTGTTTTTCTGTTTGAATGCCTAGGCTTTTGTTTTACTGGTGAATTACGAGAGCTATTATTGCCTAAGCTTCTTGATCTTTTATTATGCTAGACATTATCATATGATAATATCACATATCATGTCAACGACTATTGGAAAAAAGAAAAAAGAAGAAAAAAAATTTTTTTTTTTTTTTTTTTAATAATACGTAAAAATTACGCAGACTAATAGAGGGCCAAGCGATATGACCTAGCTTACTTAACAGCTCGACAGGCACTGAGCCTACCTGGCCCTAAGTGGGGGGACTATAGATAAGAAATGGCCACTCTATCTAATTCTATGGTTGTTTACACTATAGTTCAAACTTAATAAACAAGCGGTTACTCACCGTGTTTATGGTTCAATTAAAGATTGTACTATATAATTGTTCAATAGCACTATTTTTTAACACAACTGTTCACTAATTCACTGGTAATTATGATAATTGTGAGTGACGATGTAGCAGGTGGGTTGAAAGATACTAACGCATGCGCAGAACAAACAGTAAATTAGTTGGTATTTTTATTATGTCAGACTAAGATACATAAATTTGTAACTCTGTTATTATTCTTATGGGACAGTAGTCCCAGAATAAAATTATTTTTTCATTTCATTTCATTTCCATCAATATGTTTGGTGACACAAATATTAAAAATGTAAAATTTATAATTAAATTTATTTTACTAAATTAAATTTATTATTGAAAGATAATTGACTACAAAATGACTTGAGTAAAAAAAAAAAAAAAAAAAAATCAGTCTTTTAAATAACAAAAATAATGTTTTAGAGGAAGCATTTTTTAAGTTTGATTAGGATTATTTATTTTAGAAAAATAAACTTTTAGTAATTTATTTTTATCACTTTTGTTTTATTTTCATAAGCTGAGAGGAGATAAAAATTGATACTTGACATATAAAGATCTGATTTTCTGTATTATACAATAAAGTGAGCTATGGGGAATTATAATATTAATGTAGTTTCTCATAAGTAACTTAGTTTCTCTATTACTATAAACAGCATAATAATTATCCATATCGTCGGTCGGTTCAATGTTAAAGTAACGAATGTACAATGTTATACAGGCTCACAATCATTATTTTAACATGGTGGCAAGATATGACACCAATTATGACATTCCTGGTTAATAAATGCTCTTTTAAGGAGCACCACGAGTCAAGCGAATGAGTGCTTACCAGCCAGATCTAGTACCAGATGTATAAATTAAAGATAGTAAATAGTATTGATTTTTTTTTTTTCAAAAAAGGCACAGTTTAATTCCATTTTGCTTAAATTTTATTCATTAACCTTATTTGATTTCAATATCATGACCAGTGCCATTATTGGTAGTCAAAAGTGGGTGAATATAGCGACCATACTCATTTAAAATGACAAAGTTTAACCCTTCAAGGTCATATGCGATATCCACTTTATATTTATTTCCAATTTGAAAAAAATATTGACATACTAAAAAACCTCTCTAACTTTAACAACTTTTCCCTATTTTAAAAATTCTCTGACTTTTCCAAGTTTTCCAGGTCGGTGGTGACCCTATCAGAGGCATTTAGCCATGTATATGTCATATGTATAAAATGAAATGAAAAGCAATGTTTTGATGAATGAAATGCACATGTATGATTAAAATGTAACTTGGGAGAAACAGCTAGAATATTAAATATTAACTTATCTGTAATAATAATATTAATTACTTCCTCATAACCATCATCATCGGTGAAACTTTCATAGCTCAGTTCATCAGCTTTGAATTTCAAAAGATTTTTATTCAAAGCAACTATTTCTTCTCTCGCTTCCGGAGCTTCTGGAACTTGTTTCTCCCTTGAGTCTTTTTCATCTAGATCTTTGTGCTGGAAAAAAAAGAAATGTAGACTTTAATGTTTAACACCCATCTTTTTCTAAACAATTCATTTTGTTTTGATAAAAATTAATCAAGCATTGAATATAAATTCATTATACAGCTAAACGATAATGAACTTTCTCTTTAAGAAACACCTCTCTTTATAGGACAATTTTAAACATAACAGGGCTGAAATATATCTTGGGTTGTCTAGAAAATAATGCAGGTTTTTGGTTTAAATAGAAGAAAAGAAAGATTTACAACTATTTTATTTAATCAAAATAGTCTCCAGTACTATCAATACATTTCTGCCAATGTGTTCGCAACTTTTCCATTGCCTTAGAATAGAATTTCCCATCTTTAGAATTGATGAAACTCCAAAAACACATTTTCTAACAGTACGATTTGGCATTGATGGCTTCTCCAGGATTTAAGAAGCTGTAGTGTATCAAACTAAATGAAGCCCACCAAACAGTAACCATTTTTTTTTTTTTAAGAATTGTGGACTTTGGAAAATGATCTGCTGTTTCTCCTTTGTCGAGACACTGACCAGAACACCTACTGTTATCATTAAGTATCTACTTTTCATCACAAGTAACAATTCTGGACAGAAAATGATCATTTTTGTTTTGGCAAAGAAGTGTAGCACAAACTTCATAACAATGGTTTTTTTTGTGGCCGTTCAATGTGAGTGGAAACCAACCTTCAAGCTTTTTTACCTTTCCAATCGCCTTGAGGTTCTCATCGAAGGTCAATTTGCTAAGATTAAGATTCCCATTCAGTGATCCTGGACATTCTGTAATCCATATCATCAGTATGATCTGTCTCAGCCTCATCCCATTCATCATTCACCAATTTATCCACCAGTGTTGACCGGAAGGCATTCCAATCTTCTCCTCAGGTTACATAACCCTTCGCAGTACCGTTGGAACTTTCTGAATTTTCAAAAACCATAAAACTTACTTTTTGGTGGTCGGAACTCGTTTCAGATCGGAGGGTCCAATCGACAATGCAGTTTGCTAGCACTGGCGATGCCAGCGTCACATCAATCCGGCTCTGCCCCCTTGAACTAAAAAATTTAGGAGTAGCAGAGGGAACGTTCAGTACTACAAGCTGGTTTCTAGCATTAAACTCTCCCAGCTTAGCACCTCTTATATTCGTTCGATTGGATCTCCAGACCGTGTTCCAGGAGTTGGTATCTGAGCAGATGATCACATTCCTTGTACAAGCTGTGATCATCTCCATGGCGGATATGTCTTGGTCGATATCGTTGCCATCAGGTAGGTAAGCCGATACCAGTGTGAAGGAAACCTTCCTCCACCTGATGTAACATGCGACTAAAACCGCTGTGGTATACTGTCTCAGATCCAACACATCGAGGTTCGAGTTATTAACCACTATGGCAGCCCTGGGTATCCTCTCTCCACTGCTCAGAGCTATGTTTATATTAGTAGATCCTCAATATTTCAGGTGAAAACCTTTTTAAAAAATTAAGGATAAGTGATACATAAAAGTTTAACTAACAATATGAAAGCCCTGTGCAGAGCGGTATTGGGTATCTGTAAAGGGAGAGGATCGGCAAAGGTCGGGCGCTCTCTGCTGCTTCCCTATAGATTCCAATCCATATTTCTCCTTTAGTAACCAATAAATTTTCTTCATTCATTATATTAAACCATTTTTTAAATCAGTTTGCAATGTGAAATGGTTAATTATTTTTAAAAAAGAATCAAAGGTACTTTAAAAAAATAAATTTTGAAAATTAGGCATTTAAACACTATTAAAGAACATCAATGAGAATAAGACCTACATTATATTAAAAAATGCTTAATTTTACACTGATATAATGAATTAAATCAAAACCATTAGAGCCGGATTCGAGAAAATTATAAAAATGTGTAATACTGCTGATAGATAAGTGACACTTCTGGTTAACCGATTTTGACAAAAAAGTTGCTGTAACATCCCAGGCAGGTACAAAAATTTCAGTAGCTTATGACTTTTCAGTATTTGAGCAAGACTGTTTGTTCACACACTCAGTCCATTTTGCAAGAGTTGGTTATTTGGACTCAAGGGACTTCAAAACATGTATTTCCATTGAAAACTCAGATTCGAAAATTTTCACTATCACAATACTTTCCTTTACTATATATTACATATTCAGGTGAGTGAAAGTAATAAATTATGTGAAAGTAATAAATTATGTAAAAGTAACATACATAACTACTCACTAGTATCAAGTCGAAATCGATAAACTCAGTAAAATCTGTATTTATTAGCTTGTTCAGATTTCTTTCACCCTAGGGATAAAATAATATCAATTATCATGACAACGATTAATTTTTACTTTTTATTATTAAATATATTTGGTACTCACTGTATCGTACATTTTCATTTGAGCCAAAATTGTCTGGGCATCTTCAATTTTATAATCTTGATTCAATTCAGAGATATCATCTACCTGTAACTTGGCTATTTAAATAATTAAATCAAGTAGTGTGATAAATCTAAATTAATCATAAATATGAATGCTTCATACCAAAGACTGACATCTGTCATTTTCAGAAAGTGGAGAAAAAGTCAATTTTTGTTTTAGAGGTTCAACTCAAAACTGTTTTTGATAATTTTATTTTAAAATGTTCAAGTTGAATTACAAAAAAAAATCATCGGTTTATATTGAAGCTATATTACAGAAAATTGGCTTTTTCTCAACTTTTTAAAAGTCATTCATATATATTGCTACAAAAAATATACTTATAGTTACAAATTATTTTTTTTTTTATATATTTCCAATAATAAACCTTTGTTATGTTACAAAATAGGTAGAAACTAAAAAATCTGACAATGTTTTTTGAAAAATAATTATTAAAAGTGTTTAACACATTACTTTCATAATTCCCCAATCAGGTACCGTTTTCAAGCTAATTTTACATTTAATAAAACAATTTACACTTTTAACCAAACTAAAAAAAAAAAAAAAAAAATAGAATGGGAAGGGTTCTAAATGTATGTAATATTGGTGTTGGCTACCAAAACCTCGAAGACATCTACATTGAGTCTTACAGTTAGTTTGTCACATAACAATGCAAGAATTCAATTGCACATTCATTTGTGTTCCCTCCACTGCAACACGGATGTTTTTACCCAATACAACATAAGAATATTTTAAGCTAATGTGATATTGATTACGTAATTTATGTCAGCATATAATATGATCTTAGCCCTTGTTTTATTTTGTAAAATCATTTTCTTATTTTAACAATAATTTATCAATAGATATCAAAATTAAATAAAAGTTATAATATAAAATACTTCTATATAAAACAAAAAACTATGGTGTGCGCTAAATATTACACGATAGAAGTGAAAATATCAAAAAGGCAGGATTAATAATATGAAATATACACCGTGAGATAGGGTAACTTTGGGACAGCGGGTAAAATTTAGCTAGTGGTGATTCCGTGGTGGATACACTGTTTTGGTTCAGTCTGCCAAAACTTGCATTGAGTAGGAATGTACTGCGTTACTACCCTGTGGCACACTACTCTTGAGGCACAAGATAAAGTTTCATGAAAACAAGAATTTTAAAAAAAACAATTGAAATAAATAAAACCTAACTGCACAATGAGTGTAGTGAACTAGGATTCTTAAACTGCCACAAGGTAGTAGCGCAGTACATGCCTACAGTATAAACCAGTACAAAGCACGTTTTTGCAGACTGAAACAACACTGTATCCACCACAGAATCACCACAAACTAAATTTTATATGCTGTTCCAAAGTTACCCCATCTTACGGTATATATTTTTGTTCTATATTCACAAAGTAATAAAATTTACAATATATACAATTGTAATTGTGTGTAAACTATATTTTGTTCTATTATAATATATTGGTTTCTAAATTCTCCATGGAATTTAAATTTTGATATATTTTGATCCAAAGGCAAAAATTAATCTACTCAAGCTGACTTTACCGGAATGAGCACTACATAGCCAATACATGGATTCAATATCTACAAAATGGTGCTAAGCATGCCTAAAGAAGTTTTTACTTCAAAAAATGAAACATGAAGTTACATAAATTTGTCTGTAATAGAGATTACTCTCTTTTACGTTAGCATATAATATTATATTATCACTTGTTTTTGTTCAATGCCAGAACTGGATTATGAAGAGTGAAAGAAGGAGATCTGATTGGGGAAAAGTTTAACATTCTCAAAAGGTGGAATCATTATTTTAGTAAATTGCTGAACAAAAAAAACACTGAAAAAATATCTGAAGAGTGTACCAACCTAAACGCACTCCTCCTAGCTGAAGCACAGAAAGGAGCAGAAGAAGTAGAAGCTCCGGAGAAGGAAGAAATAATTGATATCATTGATGTCAATGAAGAATCATGAGTCGCCATGTTTCGACGAGATTACTCTAGAGATGTTGAAACATGGTGGCAGTGATCTGTGGGAGGAAATTTATGACTTAATTTGGGAGATATGGATGGAAGAAAAAATGCCTGAAGATTGGACAAGAGCAGTAATATATCCAATACACAAGCAAGGAGACAAGCTAGTGTATGAAAATTATGGAGTCATTGCTCTATTAAGTACAACCTATAAAATATTGGCAGTGCTCCTACTTAAAAGACTGACAGATTTCACTGAAAGTCATAGGAGAATATCAGGGAGGCTTTAGGGCTGAAATACCAATATTTGCCCAGATATTATCTCTGAGACAGACAATGGAAAAATGTAAATTTAACATATACATGCACCTTTTCTTTGTGGACTTCAAACAGACGTACGACAGTGTGAACAGAAAGGGACTTTTGAAATCTATGATAGATGTAGACATAACCAAGAAACTGGTCAGACTTACAAAAATTATGCTAATGAAGACTACCTTATGAAACTTACAAATTCAAAACTTATGAATTTGAGGTGGATAATGGATTAAGACAGGATGATCCTCAATCTCCCCTTCTTTTTAAGCCAACCCTGGAAGTGGCTATTAGTTCAATTTGAACAAATCCAGGAGGAACAATCTACAATCGTCTGTCTCAACATCTGGCATAAGCCGATGATGTTGCCATTATCTCTAAAACCCAAGCAACATTATCAGGAACTTGCCAGGAATATCAAACTTAAGGTCTGTTGAACAGTTCAAGTACCTTGGAAGTATGGTCACATGCAATAATAAAATAGAGAGTGAAATAAAGTCGAGGATAGCAGCAGGAAATAGATGCTATTTCTCACCGACTTGAAATTCAGATCATTCTCTAAAAGAATTAAAATCCTCATCTACAAAACCATAGTAAGGCTAGTGGTTATGTATGGGTGTGAGACTTGGATCTTAACCAAAAACTCAGAACGCAGGCTCAACTCCTGTGAGAGAAAAGTATTGAGAAGAATATGGGGCGGAATCTTTGAGAATGGAATTTGGAGAAGAAAAAAGAACGAGGAGCTGGGGAACTTTATGGTGAACCTGATATTGTGGCATTGATAAAAAGAGCCTGAATCAGATAGTTAGATTAGATCATGTGGAAAAAATGCCAGATCAAAGAATGAAAAAGAGGATGCTGCATGAGAAGCCGGATGACAATCTGAGGCGACTGGGCATTTGAAGATAGAGAGAAGTAGCACAAGACCGTGGAGATTGATTGGCTGTACTGGAGGAGGCACGGGTTCTTGTAGGACCATAGCGCCATTATAATAATAATTATGCTTAATGCATGGAACATGTAAAATTTAACAATTAAATGGCCCTTGTACAGAGTTACTGTATGAAGGAACCACATAAAAAAAAAAAACTGGTCTAGACCAAACGTGGCTTTTTATCATTAGAGCCCACGTAAGAGATTAGAAATTGTTAATGGAGGCCTCAATAATTTATTATATTTTACTGTTGCTATTTTTACTTATAAGTAAATACAAATTACACACATATATAATGTAATTTTATTGATTTTCAAATTTTTGTAACCTAAATAATTAAATATTGATTAATCTAGTGCTAGATTAATAAAGATCAAACAAAAAATAATGGGAGAGAGGGGGGCGCAGTCAGCTCAAGGAGGTCACAAGCTAGTTACCCACCTGTGTTCTAGACTCTATTTTAAGGCTGCAGATATTACAAAACAATATATTAATAATGTAGGGAAAAATTAAGATATAATTTATGAATATATAAATATATACAAGGTGAGTTAAAAAAATGATAAGAATTGCCATTTCATGTACACAATTTTATTTATTCATCAGCAACAACGTTATTGCTTTAAATTAATCGCCATTAGATATTATACACTTATACTAACACTGCTTCCAATCCATGAAACACTTCTAGAAATCTATTTTTGAAATAGTATTTAGCTGTCTCGGTGATGGGCTTTTAATTTCAACTATGCTAGAAAAATGACAGTCTTTTAAGATATTTTCTTTTTTTTTTTGTAAAGAGAAAAGTCATATGTGTCCATATCAGGAGAATATGGAGCTTAGCTTTGGTTTTTGCCAAAAATTCACAAACAAAGCAAAGAAATAAGTGCAGGTTCATAATCATGGTGCGAAAGTCATGAATTGTTTTGCCATCAATCCATACAATTTCTTCAGATTGCTTCCCACAAATTGCAGAACTATTTGACTTTTTCTTTATTTTTAACTGATACTGTTAAAGTGATAGTGGGGCATTCAGAACACGTATCATCTTTAATGTCTTCACAGCCACCCGTAATTCTTTGTTTTCCTTGTGGGGAACTCACCAAAAGCAATATTCAACATTTATATACATCATACAGGTAACGACATTATTACCTTTTATTATTTTTAAAGCAAAATTTAATGGGAATTTACTGATCCATTTTTCTAACAAATCACTCAAATTACTGAGCACAGTGGGGCGAGTAAGGGAAAACTTACGACATCGGCTAAATTATTTTTTTTTAGAACTCCAAAAACTAGATAAATTGTTTTATCAATACCTTGTGGAGTACCCAAGAATATTTCCAGTTGCCAGAATGTACATTTTTCATTGTTTTTAATATAGTTCAAATGAAAAAAAAATAGATTAAGCCGATGTAGCGAGTTTCCCTTACTTGTCCGACCCACTGTGCAGCGTTTAAGACATGCTTGCCAACATAACTACAAAAAATTGCCCAAATATGACCAGTGAAATATATAATTTCCCATTACTTTTAGACTGTACCTTGAATATACATACACAATCTTTTAATATGTAAAATATTATTTCTACTAAATTCTCATTTTAATTTTCCTCTTTTAGGGAATTTGGGCAAGTAAAAATTATTTATTGTTAGATAAATAATAGTCAAAATAGATTAAATATGTTGTAAACAATTTCATAATTTATTTTTTAGCAATTCTTAGTTTGAAATAATGATAAATGGATGTGATAGAAAAATCTGAGTAGAAGCAAAAAAAAAAAATATATATTATTCTTGTAGTAGATGAACTTCTTTCATAAAAAGGTAAGCTGGGTAGTCAGAATTTCTTCTACTGTTTTGACGTCTTCCTCAAAAAATGCCACGGAATTACTACAATATGTTGTGTATCGTCTGTAAAATATAGAAATTTTAAAAAAATTGTCTTACCCCCTCCTCAATCATATCCTCACTGTCCTCTACTTGAACACTAGATTGTTCTGTTCTACTGATGGTGGAAGAATCCTTTGCTGGTCTTCTTTTTAAAACGTACGAGACAAATCTGGGAGGAATTGGAGCCTTAAAAAATGATTTAACATCACATAAAAAAAAATTTATTTTTAATAAATTCATTAAATGTATGCATTATAGTTTTATTTTATCACAATGTAAGACTAAAGGCTCATTTACATACTATCAGCCATCGGCATGATCAAGAGACTTTATCTGTAAATCCACTCGTCAATAGCTACTGACCTTCCAGTTCACTGGCGCTTTACCATTTATACATTACCATTAGTTGTAAATAACTTTTTATTTGAACAGCGCTCTTGTTTATTCAAGCCTGTAAATTAAAGTTACCTCAAAACAAAACCCCAGGCTCTGGATTAAACTTTTTGAGGGTGTCTACTGCAGTTGGAACTTCAGGGAACTAACTCTTAAGGGACATTGCCTGCAAAACAATGAGAAACCAAAAGATATAGGATGGATGATTGTAACTTGAATCAATTGGATTCACTTGGTTTTTCCGATCTCCGTTTGCGTTAAATTCATTCAGCTTTCTTAGTAAAAGATGTTGGAAGTATGCAAAAACTAAATAGAAGGAAAATATTTACTCCTGAAATAAAATATTTACTCATAAGTAATTTAGTTACTTTATTACTATAAACAGCATAATAATGGTCTATACCACACTAACTGTGAAATTTCTGATTAATAAATGCTGTTTTAAGGAGTGCCACATGTTTGACAAATGAGTGCTTGCCAGCTAATGAATTCCACCAACCGTAGCCACATGAATTAACTAGAAATATAATGCAAAATAAAACTTATATAATATATATCGGTATATTATCATTTGCCAATATTAACTACCACTTCCCACTCTTAGCGTTAAGTTTATATTTCTGTTTAGTTCTGCAATAAGATTATGTGAGAGCAAGAAGTTTTCCTTGGAAGAAAAATTCTAAATATGCTGCCGACTGGAGAGGAAAGATTTCTATAGTAGCCTGGCTCAATAATTAAACCTGTCTTTTAACAATTTGAATAAATTGAGCATCTGTTTGAAACAGCATGCTGAATATTGTGAATCTTTTAAACGACAATCAACCAGCGACAAAATTGGTTCTTCTCAATATTCCGCTATCAGGGCTAAGGCAGATTTCATTCAAAAAGACTACCGAATATTTAAAATCAACTTGATGAACCCCAAACTAATATTTTGCAAGGATGGATACAAAGATTCTGCTACCGGCACAATACTGTTCTTAAAAAAAATTAGCTGTGAAGCTGTCAGCATTCTCTTTCAGTAAACAAATGAATGGAATTAAGTTTAGCAGACAGTTCCTTAATCATGAATTATCACGAAGCTGACATATACAAAGCGGTAAAATGCAATTTTTTAAGAAGTTGGTGCTCAACTGGGCTCATTTTAAGATTGAAAAATGTTCTAATGGACGTTTATCTATAGATAGAATTACTGTTAAGAAGTTCATTACTTTATAAAAATAAATAAATATGTCCATAGATGTGTATATTACTAATAGTATATTTTTTTTAAAACTTTTATTATGATATTTACAACTGTATTAGTATGAATACATCAAGTAAATGTGTACAGAGGAATATAATAACATGAAACACACTTGTTGAGAAACTACCCATTGGTAGCACTCTAATAATTTGTCTACATGAGGAGATCACGAGGCCATCTTCTTTTCAGACGCCTCGGAGGGTTATCAGGAATCGAAGAGGAAACAATAGTACCTTAAGGCTGAGCTCCACTGCGCAATCAGTTGCCGACCTCCTCTTGCTATGCTCAGCTTAGCTGAGCTGCGCTTTTGGTGGCCGGTCAGCCTTAAGGTTAGTTAATCACATTTTTTTTTTCTTTTAATAATGACTTAACTGTCGACAGATATGCTAATGAAGCAATTCTTTAGGAAACCACCATTAATCCAGTCAATGAATGATTACAGAAGGAAATGTAAGAAACATAACTTTTGACTTTGAGACTTTGTTTGGACCTAGTCTGGAGGTAAACATATTAAAAGTCCCCACTTGTAGGAGGTGAGATAGAGGTACCCATAAGGTCATTCTCTTTTATTTTAACTTACATCAAAGAAAATATTCAATCTAGCGATAAGCAGCAGGATTTATTATACTGATTTTTTCTTTAACTTGCATTGTTTCCGAGAAATCCGTCCTCATAATTTACTAATTTCAAAAAAAAAACATTTTTGCCTCATATTTTCAATACTGATGAAGTGAGATGGTTAATTATATCAAAAAGACAAAATAAAAGGTACTTATGATGAAATAAAGTCTGCTTCTAGGAAACCAGCAGATATTACAGAAAACCAAATTTTACATCAATATAATGAGTTTAATAAAAATAGAGCTGTTTTTTAGAAGATCGTAAAAATTAATTATAATAAGTGTAACTTCTAGTTATTCCAATTCGACAAAAAAATTGCTTTAATATCCCAGACATATACTTATCTTTAATATGTGATTTCAGTTTCGTAAGACTTATCATTTTTGAGCTAGACTGTTCACATACATGCACACACACTAACACACCGACCATTTTATGAGACTCGGATGGCTCAATCAAAAGGTTTTATTTCCATTCAAAAATATGAAACATAAATGCAATACCTTCTCTTATAATATATTTCATAGAAATATAATTAAAAGTAAAAATAAACAATTTTAAAGTTTTGATTGTTCTAATTGTTTTCTATTTTTTTTTTTTTTTTTTTTTTTTTTTTGCCGCATTCAAGTTCACTTTTATGTTTGGTAACAGCATTTCTGAAAAAGACAATTTAATAAATGGCAAAAAAAAATGTCTCTATTATATAAAAAAGTTTTTAATGACTGTCATATTTTATTTTCCAATCTCAACAAGTTAAAATGCTGGGATGAAAGATTTTACTTTTTTTTTTCCTGCTTACACTATATTGAAAAAAAATACAATTTAAACTACAGAATAAATTTAAATTACAGTTATATAATTTAATACATAATTTGAGCAATTATTAGTACAATTAAATGAATAATTGTATAATTTGTAAAGTGGTGGTTGGTCTGTCGTTGGACAGGGAATAAACCCTTAGTTTAAATATATTTATGAAAACACAATTTAAATTAAATCACTGTTTATAAAAATCTCATAAAACTTATAATATTTAAGTTATCAGGTTGCCAAGCAACGTATGTATTGCTATCTTATTAGGCCGCTCGACCGTTCCGCCCCTTGAATAAAAACTCTATATGTCAAGACACCATTTTAGATACCTGTGATTCCAACTTCCGAAACCATGAAATTATCTTGGACACAGTCACAGCCTGCTCCTGATTTGGTTTTGATTCTGGTTGAGAAGAAACATTCAAATATTCTTCTAAAGCCTAAAATTTGAAAGTAAAAAATCATTGAAATAATTTAATTAGAGGAATATTAAAAATATGATAATTTTATAGTCATATTTCCTCCCTTTGGTGCCATGAAAATTTTATATTAAAGCATAAGTATCAAATAGGTCACCATAAAATACAGCAACATAAAATTATTTATTTTCATTTTATTTATGATTTACAATTGAATTATTAAGAGCAATTTTCAATTCATGTAAAACAAATTCGGCTATCAACATAGATGATTTCCAAGTAGCTAATGCAGGAAACATAGGAAATTCATAATAAAATATATATTTTTATCTAGTATTACTACTATTGGTACTGGGAAAACGAGTCCAGCAAATGGGCTACACTGTCCTCTTTGCAAACCCCTGACGGCTACCTTGAGGTTGCCGCCACCTACTTATAAGAGTGGGAATATCAAGATTCTTTTCCTGTGATTGCCCAGAAATGAAAATGAACCGACCTAGATGTGAATAGAATTCACAACGTTTAGAACTCGGTACTCTAGGACCCATGCCCCTACTTGGTCGAACATCCCGTCCTCCTGTTTTGAAATATGTTTAGAATTAACAAATATTAAATATCATCATCATTATCTTTATCCCCATATGGGTTTGCTGTTTATAGAGTCTGGACCAGGTGTCTTGCTCTCTAACAAACTTTCTTCTGCTCCAATCCATACCCTGCCTCTTGAAAGCGTTTCAGGAAATGTCCTAGGAGATACATGGTCTTTATCAAGGTTTCCTTCTCCCCATACAGGTCTCCTATGTCTTTCTCGTGGTTCTTACTAATAGACGGTGGGCCAGAACCCCCTAAGGTGCACCTTCCCCCCCTCCCACATCCCTATAAATTGCATATCATTGTGTTCCTTGTAACTATTCATTAAAAAAAAAAAAAAAACCAATGTTCCCACAAAAAAAAGTGAGCGAACTGCCCCAAACATGGCGGACTGACGACTGACTTTAGTTAACTTTTTGGTCAGTGAGAATCAGCATTTAGCATAATTTTGTCGTTGTTTGTAATTATACAACCAGCAATAACGCAAAATGTGCTGAAATGAAACATCTGGAGAATATATTCCTATTTTTAAAGCACTGATTACCTTTTAAAATATTTAAAGCAGTTCCGCAGAAAATGCACTTGAGTGGCAGAAAAGCGGTACTGGCATAGGTGCCTACACGCTTCTATTCAGTACTCATAAATGGCTTCCGTTTAACTAGAAGAAATTATAAGCTTCCCCCTTTCTATCTTTCTTTGTGATGAGAGAATAATGCTATCAATATTAAAATTTCCTTTTTTTTTTTTTTTATGATATGGTTCAACTTCCGAACAAAATAAAGGAAATACAAATAAATTTTTTTATTAGTGATATATGAGTTTTACTAAACAACCCACTAACTATTCATTATATTAAGTTCAGATTAGATATATATTATTTTAGTTTATAAAACAGGTATTAATATGCCTCATTTTCGGAGAAGTATATACAATTTAAAATACCTCTAAGAATCAGTAAATATACAAAACATAGCATTAAATTGCAAACATTAAATAAAAAATTCAAGATATTCAGCAAAGTATTTTAGAATTAAATTTTATTATTATAATTATATCATTATTACAATAGAGGCCTTCTTAAACGACCTCCATATAGAATAAAATAAAATAAATTGTTTAATTTTTTTGGACAATTAAATTATTGCTTCAAATATATTAAAAGGTAATCTGTGTTTTAGAAATATGAATATATTCTCCAGATGTTTTATTTCAGCACGTTTTGCGTTATTGTTGGCCGTTTAATTACAAACGACGCTTGATTAAAAATTACGCTTGAAATTTTTTTTGTTGAAAAAATTAACTTTACTAATGTTTTTTATTGCCTTAGCCAATTATTTTTTCATGTTTTATTATTGTCTGACTACCAAGTTTTATAAAAATCCAACCATTACAAAATTAAGATAAATTCTGATTCTCAGTGACTACCAAACACTAACCAAAGTCAAAGTCGTCAGTCTGCCATGTTTGGACGCCATTTTGGGGCAGTTTGTTCACTTTTTTTTTTGGAGAACATTGGCTTTTTTTTTTTAATAAATATTTACAAGGAACACAACGATATGCGATTTATAGGGATGTGGGAGGGTTGTTACGATAAGGGGGTCTGGCCCACAGACTATCAGGAGTTGTCCGAACCATCTTACCTTATGCTCCTCCAGGATGGTCACAGGAAGTTTAACCATGAAACTAGTCTTGGTCAATGGTGGTGTTCTGGATCCTATTATGTCTAAGCTTTCCTTCAACTTGACGAAGGAAGCATATCTCCATGGATTGGATTTGACTATATAAGGTTTTGAGGTGAGAGTCTACAATTTGGAAGATTATGAAAAAATAGGAAAAAACATTGACCTATAGACAGCTATTTTCGTCTTCTTGGTGATTTCTCTTTTACCAAGAAAACCCTCCCAAGCGAACAGAATACTCTACCAGTTGTTCCAATTCTCTAAAAGACTTCCTCATGGATGGAACTGCTTTCGTTGGGATGAGTACCTAGATATTAGAAATTATATATTTGCTCTAATGTCTCTCCGTTTGCTTGTAGCACTCTAGTTTCTTTTCTACTTTGTCTTTCCTGGGTTGATTTTAGTATTCATTGTGGTCATTACTTCCTGAAGGACATTACTATTGTATTGGAGGTCGTTAACAGCCAACAAAATGAAGTCATCAGTGTAGCTAATACGGATAAACTTGAGGATTGTAGGTTTAATATTGAATATATCTTATATTTTAAACTAGTAATATAACCTCGGAAGATCACTTCAATACTATTGGGATACTTCCAAACAAATAAGAGGTTATTAAATAAAATAAAAAATTACAAGAATATTGATATAATTATAACTGAAATTTATAATTATTTTATCTCAGGTATGGGTTACATACAATCAGATCAAAATACTTGGACTAATATTAACTACACTAAACACTGTTTGATTTTACAATAAAGACAAATATGAATTGGCAAGCTAACTTTTTTTCTATATACTGTTCCTTCCTTTGTGGCACCTTTCCAAAGTTCTGTCAAACACATGTTCCAAAATGGTAACACTTCCACCTACTCAACTCAAGATCCTCGGGAGATTCTCTTGTACTTATAAAACTAGTGAACCTGCCAAACAACTGCTTGCCAAAACAAAAATCTTTGGTTCCTCCCCTCTTTAAGATTTTCCTTTTTGGGGAAAATAAAGAACAGCCATTTTCTTTCCATGGGCTGGTGAAACTATTTTTCAAATTTAAACATTCGCTGACATATAGATACATAAATATATTCAAAAATATATATACGAATACCATTTATGTTTATGGAATTCATGAATATATTTATATTCATAAAAAGAAATATGAATACAGATGATACGTATTCACGACTGTAAATATTAATACGACTATATCACGAAAAGTGAATACGGCTACACGAAAACTGGTACCCCATTCAATTAATAAATAAATGGTGGTATAAAAATAAAAAGTTGGTTAAAAATGACAATAGTAATAAAGCGATAAAAGATATTAGGGATGATAAAAGCGAGAATGAAAACCAAAATAACAAAATTAATAAAGAACCGTATTTAATAACAAATTATTTTAAAACTGAAAATGCAGTAAAACAAAAACCTTCCATAAACGATATACATGACATTAAAGCACAAAATGAAAAATATAATAAAAACAAACAACCTAAAAAATATTTTAGCGTCACATATATTAGAAATTTAACGGACAAAATAGAAAGAACATTTAAACAATAAGATGTAAATGAAATTAAATTTGCAATCAAACCTATTAATAAAATAAATACAATTTATTCCGAAACTAAAGATAAAATACCCACCGATAAATTAACAAATATTATTTATAAAATAAATTGTTAAATTTGCAACAACAAATCATATATTGGACAGACATCACAATGGTTTGAAAAAAAGACTTAAACAGCACAAACAAAATTGTAATTCAAAAAATACAAAAATTAAATTAGCTACTGGGCTCTCTCAGCACACTATGCAAACAAAACATGAATTTGACTTCAATAACTCCAAAATCCTACATAATGAAAGTAATATGAATAAACGAAGAATATATATATAAGAATATATAAATAAAAGAAGCAATATATATAGCTAAAAATTAAAAAAGTTCTGTAAATAATCATACAGATGTGGATAATATGAATACCTTTAACGCGAGTTCGATTGAAAAATAAAAATATGAAATGAATTAGCTAATTATACTTAAAATAAATCCATATATAATATTGGGAAACATCATTGTATATGTTTAAAATAAATAGTCTCCCCCTACTCCTTTAAGAATAACCAGTCACGAAACTGAAATGAGGCTGATGAGATGTCGGTGACACAACATAAGGTAATTTTAATTTATTTGAATCATTTAATAATAAATAATTGAGTAATAATAATGTTATAAAATAATTAAAGGTGTATATGACAAAAATAAAATTTTTTTAACACATGAGTAGACGCATGCAATTCACATAAGTTGAAAAGGACAGGTACATGATTGGTATTTAGGTATATAAAATGAATCTCTATATGTTGAAGTATGTAATGTTTTCAATATGACTGCAAATTGTAAAAAATTTTTAGACTTGAAAATGGCTCAATGAGCCGAAACGTCGTAATCATATGTGTAGTCATTAAGTTGACAAAAATTTTGAAAATTGGTGTAAAATGACTGAAAATAAATAAACTTGAAAAAATATATATATATTTTTTTAATAAATAATAGTATATATATATAAATATATATACATAAACATCATTTTATTTTTATATAAAGTATTATATTCTTCATTTTACAATTATGTTACAATGTATTATGTTATGTTAATTATCACTCTTAATGTTTGTAGATAATATCAATTCCCAGGAGGATCCTAGACACAGTCGCGGATTTCGCAAGGGGGAGGGAGA